AAATGAAACAATCATATTAAAATATACACAATATGATTAACTTTGTTATTATAATAAATTTGAATAATTGCATAAATTTCAAAATTATTAATAAATTTGTTATTTTAAAATTGCATTATTATTAAATCAGTGTTTTCGACTTTTTCAATTTTCATTTTGATTAAAAAACAATTATCAATTTAAACGTAAATTTCAATTATTATGTTATAAAGACGGATTCGGAAATAATTTCAATAAGTATATAATCATAATATGAACAAGTTTAATTCATGTTTTGTTATTTCCCGTCTCAAGTTCGCGAGATATAATTATTGTTTTTGTTTACTGATTATTGTGGTAACTTTTTTGATTGTATTTAATTTTTTGGCATTTATGACAAATTATTACCATTATTTAAAATTTGAACTTTGACTCGAAATATTAAGTGTAAATTATAACTTGAGTTATGAAAGTGGGCCTTATGGGGAACTGAACATTATGGATTTGATTTTTGTATCCTCAGAAAAATATTTTTTAATAAGGATAGCTTTGATCCTGAGGATACACCTTATCCTCAAGAAACCCTATAAAAAGGCGTTGAGAAGAAACTTATAAGGAGTACCTTTCGTTCATTTCATCATCGAACACCCAATAAAAGGACCAGATACTATCATCACAATTATATTAAATGGGACTGAAATCTCATTTATTAAAGCACTTCTAATGTGAATGTACCAGTTTTTTGTGGTTCCAGACAAAATAAACATTTCATGGATACTTGCATTTACTAAACAACAAATTGGGAAGTTTTATCTACTTGCAACTAACAGAAAAGGAGAAATAATAAACCATCAATCAACTATTCAATTCAACGTCGAAATTTTTGTTCCAACAATCACTGTCTTACTCTTCTTTAATAACAAAGATCCGCTGTGTTTTTCAGTTTCACTTGGTAATTTGCGAATTGATTCTGTTGATGCGGCTGTTGGGCAAAGCTTCAAAATGAAGTCAAAGATGTTGATGCCTCTGTTTTGGGGTTTATGAGAAACTCGACACAACTGTTCTATGCAAATTGCATGTATTTTTTAG